ACAATCTCAGAGATTCGATGGCCCACGAAGGGTTTGTATTTTCTCTCCGAAGAGTGGACCCATTGTAAGACCGTTTGTGAGTCGCTCCAAAACAAAACGCGACTGATTTTAAATTCGTGATTGTTGACAAGCAGTTTACTTAGCCTTGTCCCTAGAACTGCGGCTTGCAGTTCAAGTCGTGGTATAGACAGAAGCCTCTTCGGCGCGGTGCGTGTTTTACCCATGACGAACGTTACGTCAACTGAACTGTCATACACCACTCGGAAATAGCCCACCGCTGCAAAGGCTGCCTGGCTGGCATCGGCGAAAATATGCAACTCAATTCTGCTGCTGTGCGAAATATTGGGTGAGTAGTGTCTTGGTACTTGAAACTCTTTGATATTCGGGAACTCCTTCCACCAGCGGGACCATCTTGCAGCCAATTCAGCATCTAACTTCTCGTCCCATCCAATGCCTAGTCTCCAAGTGTCTTGTATGATGATTTTCGTAGTTATCAAAAAGTTCGCTAGTAGCCCAAATGGGTCGAAGACTGCCATCACTATGCCCAGTAGTTCTCTTTTTGTCGGAGCGCGAATTCCCTCTAGCACTGGCTGCGGTACGCGATGGAATTTTGTATGGAACTCGAAAGTATCGTCTCTGGTATTCCAGTACATACCAAGTACTTTATCAGCCGTCTGGTTGCGTTCCATATTAATTACCTCCCTTGTCGTTAGAGGTGTTTTGTTCATGGCTTTCTCTATGTAGCCGCAATTAGAGATGAAGTTCCGCAATTCGAACCCGGCTTCCGAATTGATGGCAACTATCTGTTTGCAAATTTTGATTGCGTGCTCCGGCGTGTGAAAACTAGTCACCAGGTCATCGACATAGTGATTGTTAATAACAATGGAGGCTGCTTCGGGAAACTGAATTCTGAACCTTTCTGCGTTTTTGTTTTTAACATGCTCTGCGATGCAAGGCGAACAAACTGCCCCGAAGATCATCGACGTCATCATATATTCTTCGATCGGTTGATTGGGGTCTCCATCTCTCCACAAATATCGCTGAGCATGTTGGTCCATCGATCGTACTTTAACCTGCGAAAACATCTCTCTTATATCCGCTGCTACGCCAATTTCGCCCTGGCGGAATTGCAATAGTATGCGTATGAGTGGCTGTGCCTGCTCGGGGCCCTTTAACAAGACTGAGTTCAGTGAAACCTTATTCACTGTAGCTGCGGCGTCGAAGACGATGCGGAGTTTGCTGGGCTTGCTTGGGTTAAAGACAGCAAAATGAGGTAGATACCAGGCTTGTGCATATGGCGCGCTGATTTCCTGGCTGGTTAGCTTTCTGGCGTACCCTTTCGCCACGTATTTCGACATTTCTTGCTTGTAACGTAGAGCAAATTCTGCGTCTTGATGCATGCGCCTTTCTACCGACAGCAAGCGCCGTTCCGCCATTTCTCTGCTACTCGGAAAGTGTGGTGGAAACATTTTCCAAAGAAGCCCAGTTTCGTAACGCTTACCTATTATTCGCGTTGTTGCCTCCAATATGGATTTGGCGTGCTTATCGGCATCAGACTCAAGCTTGACTGATGCAGGATTAAAACCGTAGTTGTCCGTTGTGATGTAGTCCGAGACCAGTTGGTGCAGATGTTGCCATTCTCGCATGTGGAGTACTCGCAGACTTGACGTTGACGCAAGCTTAGTCGGACCATATGCCACCCAACCCAATGACGTTTTGGCAGCTAGCGGACTGCCTATGTCAGCTTGTACTATGGTTGTGGTAACACCTAGATGTGCCTGATTCAGCCCAATGAGCAGGACAGGTTTCGTGCTGGGGTAATCTGGTAGCGGCAATTCTCGTAAATGTTCGAAGTCGTCTTTTGTAAAGGACTGTTCTGGTAAATTTAGATTTTTCACCGTGCGCACATCTCTCAGCGTGAACCTCTTGCTGCTCGAGCAACCCGCAATCTCCAGACTTACTTTAAATGACTGCTCGGTCACCACTATATCATCGTACCATTGCAGTGTGAGGGGATGACACTGCCCTTTAACACCAATCCTTTTGGCGACGGCTTCTTCCAGGATCGTTATTGCCGAACCTTCGTCGAACATTGCCAGGACTGCGAACTTACCATTAGGTCCGTAGATATTGACCGGTAGCATCTTAAACAACTGCTTAGTTGCTGCTTGCACAAGGCGACAGTTCAACAGTGGCTGAGTGTTTTCATCTTGTGTAATTTGCCGTGATGTATTTAGTCGGCTTTCGTCGTTGTGCAACAACTGATTGTGGTACCGCTGGCAGCTATTTATACCACACGATCTTTTGGAGCGACATTTCGATGTACTATGGCCTTTGCGCAGGCAGGAAAAGCACAACTGCCGGCTCTTAACAACTTCCCATCTCGCTTGAACACCCAACGCCTTAAACTTATCGCACTTCGAGATTAAATGATCGCCGCCGCACTGAGAACATGCCACCGTCTCTGTTGGTCTTTCGTCCTGGATGTGCATTACACGCCGGGGATTGCTTGCAGATGAATTCTGCTTGTGACTGTGTGCACTGCTTGTCGGCATTAAACACACAACTCTTGCTAGCTCACTAAGCCACTTCGAAAAATCCTCGATGGTCGGGTATGGTTTAATGTCAACAGCGTGCTTTGCCCAGTCAAACTGCTTGTTTTGTGGCAACTTACAAATCATTTGCTCTAAAAGCGAGACGTTTGCTAAATGTTGCTGGCACTTTGCCGATTTCAAAAATGCAACTACGTTGCGCACCCTAGTAGAAAAAGGTACTATTTGTTCAGGTTTGTGCTCGGGTATTGTCGGAAATTGTTGCAATTTATTTAACTGCCATTTTACCAAGATGTCGGGTCTACCGAATCTGAACTGCAGTTCGTTCAGCACGTTCGGCACATCCTCGGGGTAAATAAGTAGTGAAGCTACCGCTTCTTTGGCCGCCCCAACCAGGCACTTCTGCAGGCGCATAAGATTTTGTCGGTGGCTATACCTAAATGCTTCTGTTGTGTCGTTAAAGTTGGCGAAGAAGAGGGGCCACTCTTCTGCATTGCCCCCAAATGTGGGCAAATCATACAACTTCACCTGCGAATCTGTCGCTGGCACGACCATTTGGCTTGATTCGCCCTGTGCTGGCTGCACTGTTGCACTTTGCCCAATTTCGTTTGGCGGCTGCATGCCCTCGCGCAATCGTATAATATCACGTTGGCTATCCATCGTGCTATTTCGCAGTTCTTCGACGGATGCCCTCAATGCATTTAAAGTAACGATAATGGCGTTCATGTGGTCCCCGCCGGCCGCGGTTGACTGCCTTGACTCCTCCATTATCGTGCTCTCGAATGACGATTCGCTTTCGCTGCTGTGTGCCCTGTCCACTATTCGACTTCGCAGAAAATACCTGTCGGGCTCCGACATTCACTAGTGTTTAACCTCTTTGCACGTGCCAATTTATGTACGTGATTCGTCTTACCAATAACTTGTTGTATGTAGATTCGCCCAGGCAGACGTACCAGATAATTTTAAAAACTTTGTAACTATTGGATGAAAAGGCAATTCACTGGTTTTAATTGTATAAGATTTATTGATATATAAGAAATCGTTGCTGATACAAGTTCGCTTGAAAATTGTTGGTTAGTTATTTCGTTGGTTTTAAAATTGTATTTTGCTGGTACGTCTGCTTTCCTTAACGCGCTGAATCAAAAAGGACCAAATTTTTGTAAGTATCTACATATGTCAAAAAATCAATGATGGCCGCTTAGCTGTCAAGGTTGGCTATTGTGAACCGGTTTAGTGACAGGGTTCCCAACATAGGCTGTTTTGCTTACGCGTTAAAGCACATTTAGCGCATTTAGCTCTAAATGCTACTCTAAATGTACATTTATCCATACAAAATTCGTCACCTAAATGCAACTCCATTTTTGCATTAAGAATCTAAACACTAAAAGCAACTCTGTGATCGTCCTAAATTTCCACGATGCGAACATTGTTAAATGAGGA